ATTGGTTGCGCCCATATAGCCGATGCGTAAAGAACAATTCTCTCCGCTACCGTTAGATATAGCAGTTTCTGGATGTGAGGGTTTTGCCCCCAGTTGCTTCCCTGGAATTGTCTGGCTTTCTTAGCTATATTTGCTGTCTTGACTCTGATGTCTTGAAGGTGGGGCAGCCATGTGAGACCCTGATCCCATGTAAGTCCGAGATACTTTATGGTTTTTGAGATCTTTAGATTTCGTCCCATCAATTTTATACACGGCCGTCGCGTTGGATTAGTTCTCGGTCGTGGGATGACTACTGCCGTTGACTTCTGTGCGGAAATGATCAATTTAAGTCTACTGCATTTATCTGAAAATATGGAACAGGTTTCCGTACCATTTCGTTCGAGTTCTTCTCTTGTGCGGCCAGAGACTAGCAATGCCGCATCATCTGCATATGCTATCACTCTGGTATGGGTAGGCCATTTGATTTGTAATAAGGAATTAAACGTGATTATCCACAGTAGAGGCCCGGCACATGAGCCCTGTGGGCACCCTCTTTCCTGCTGTTTAGTGACGACACCGTTATTATTGACTATAATTAGACTTCTAGAGTGGAGATAGTCAGTGAAGATATTAAAAAGGTTCCTTGGACACTTTGCCTCCCTGAGGGCCTGCTTTATTGCAGGCCACCAGAGAGTATCAAAGGCACTTTGAAGATCTAAAGAGATAAATGCAGTATGTAGATTGTTGATTCTGTTGTCATTTATATGTTTTCGAATGTGTTCTAGAGCATGGATGGTAGATGTGCCTGTCCTGAATCCATATTGATGTGGGCTAAGAAAGTTTTGTCGGTATAGATGGTGCTTCAGCCTGTTGACTAGCAGTTTTTCGTAGATCTTACCCAATGCAGATAACAGACATATGGGTCTAAAGGATCTTGGATCTTCCGGGGATTTATGCTTTTTTAAAAACAGGACGACCTGTCCTTGTTTGAATGCAGTAGGGAAGATTTGACAATGTAGAAGCTTGTTAAACAGAGCTTTAAAATAAGTGGGTCGAGCGTTGAAGGCGACCTTGATTATTGCATAATCCAGGCCGTCAGGACCTGGTGCCTTTTTGACTGGAAGCTGTCGAAAGATTTGCTTGATCTCTTCCATTTCAAATGGTTCGTCTTCTGAAGTCTCTGGGATAGTGGTGTTTCCCCTTGTCCCCTTGTGTGCCTTTGTTCTGGCGTGTCATCGTCCGGGTCATCTGCTGGGAAGACTGTGTTTAAGGTTGTGGCTGCCGTGGATTCTGCTATGTTGGTTGGCCATTTGGGCATAGAGTTGATCCGGCTTAAAGACCTTGTTGGTGGCAACAAGCTTGTGTAGAATTCCATATGAGTTGTTATTTTCTGTGCAGAACTTACGCCAGCTGGTTATTTTGGCTTTAAGGATATTATTTTTATAATGCGCTCTTTCCTCCCTAAAGGTTGCTAGTATTGCATTCTTGGTGGTTTCGTTAATGTTGGTGCGAAGGCGACGTCGTAAAGCCCTGCACTTTTGCCGTTGCTGTCGCAGTTCCTTTGTCCACCAGGAAATTCCTTGCAAACATTTTGCTGCTCTGGTGGGCAGGTGCTGATCGCAAATGCTCCGTAGAGTGTCAAGCAGCCGCTCGGTATAAGTGTTCAGATCATTGGGGCTCTTGTATTGACTTAGCTCCTGCTCTTCTTGCTGTAATGTTAGAGAGAAAGCTTTGTTAAGTATTCGCAATTTGTTACCCGGAAGTTTGTATCTTTTAAAGATGCTGATCCTTGTGTCGCTTGCAATATTGAAGTGTATGTAGCGATGGTCCGAGCAGCTCTCTTCATCTGCTACCATCCAGTCTTGTAGGTTATTGGCTATATCATTAGTAGTCACTGTAATATCTGGCCATCCGTGGTGGTACGTGTTGTCAAATGTGGGTGGCGCGTTGGGGGTGTTTATGATTTGCAGATTGCTGGCCAATATGTAGTCTTCCAAGACTTGCCCTTTTGGAGTGGTAGCTGGGTAACCCCATATGATGTTGTGGGCATTAAAATCACCGCCTATAACATGTGATGTTGTGGGGCACTTTGTCTTTACTTCTTCGATGCTCATGATGGTCTGGTGGATATCATCCGGTGGGGGACTGTAGATGGAGGAAATGATGATCTGTGAATTTGAGAAGCTGAGGAGGATTGCTACATGGTCTCGCTTCTGTGTAATTATCAGCGGGGACCAGAGCGGGTTGCAGCAGGCGATTGCTGCTCTTGGTGGTGGCTCATTCTGTTGTGCTTTGCGCTGAAATATTTTCCAACAGAGTGGCAAACAGGCGACTTCCCCTGCTCTGCAGTAAGGTTCTTGAATCAATAGTATATCTGGTTGATGGTTGATTGTATGTTGGATCAATTGTGACGCGGCGGCTTTTGCTCTTTGTAAATTAATCTGGATGCATTTGATAACTTCTCGTTGGATGTCTGGTGTTTGCATTATTTGAGTGGGCGGCTGTGGCAAATCACTCGTATCTGGTACTGCGTCTGATATTAGCGATGTATCTTCCGTACGAGGGGCAGTTGACATCATAGGCTGGATGATCGCAGGGGATGCTCCTGTTTGTCCTATAGTTATAGTCTGCGCAGTTGATACACGCGGGCTGCTGCGCTCGGCATTCACGGATGTCGTGTTCTTCTGTGCAGTATGCACAATAATGTTTGTTGGAGCACTCCTTTTGAGTGTGGCCGAGTTCCTGGCATCTGTAGCATCGCTTGGTGTTATAGAAGTCTGCAATTCGGTATGCCCGCCAGCCGAGGTAGAGTCTGGGAGCCTGCATGATTCGCTGGTAGACTGTAGGTTGGCAGTCAAGAACCCATTTAACTGTGTTTTCTTCTATCTCGGAGGCGGTAGAGGATCTTGACTGTTGATTTGGTAGCATTGTGCTCCGATGCCAAAGCTCGTTCTATTTCGTGTTCCTGGACTTCATGTGGGACGCTGTGGATAGCAACTCTTGGAAGTCTTGTGGCGGGAAGCTTGGTCTCTACCAGTTCTTGTCCCTTTGCACTGTTTAGCGTATTTTTAGCTTGTCAAGGTCCTCCTTCGTGTGACAGTCAACGGCTAGCCCTAGCCTCCTTTTTGTATGTTTCTGACTGTGGATACCTTTACTCCTATCTTCGGGGAGTGGGAATTCCTGGCTGAGTTTAGCCTTAAGGTCTTGACTGGTGGAGCAGGTGGCTTCCTTAGGATATAGTAATAGTGTGTGCCGGGGCGTAGTTATGTGACTAGTATCTTTAGCCTTAGCTGCGGCAGCCGCGTAGGATGGACCTCTGATCGGATTAGGCAGTGGTGCTACAGCGAACACGTTATGCCTCTGCTGGTCTGTTTGATACTGGTTATTTGCATGTGCTAATTCGCAGCAGAAGAGAGTGGAGGTATTGGTACTTGTGTCGGCTTTTGTTGGTTTTGCTGTGTATTCGGGGCCTTCTAGGGCTAACTTCTGTAGAGCCTCTAGTGAGGTAAGAATACGTTCTCTGAGTTCTGTTCGGAGCAGAAATTTACCACCTCGGTAGGTAGTTGTTACTCTCTTGATTTCCTGGTAGAAGAGGCCTACCTTTTCAGCATGAGCTATGTCTGAGTTTAAGATAGAGGTCGGGTCTAAGGCGCTGGACGACGTTGTTATATCTTCGTCAGTAGATAGAGTAGTTTGAGTACCATGATATAATGCAGACAATGACAGTTAATATGCAGAATTACAATAAAAAGCGTACAGTTACATAATCTAAGGCAATACAGTTAAATGTAAGTGCGTGCAATGAAAGCGCTGCCAACAGTTAGCGTGCACGGGTACAAGGTGACAAGTAAATGAGAAGTGAATAGAATTTACAGAAAACTCATTAATTTCCGTCACAAATGCTAAATGTACGGAACTGAATGCTGTGAAGAAACCAGCCACAGAGCCTATTTCTCATACAATGCATACAATACACAGAATAATGCATACAATACACAGAATAATGCATACAATACACAGAATAATTGCATATACAGAAATAAAATCTAAACGAACTTAACAAGGTATGGAAACAGAGTACAATAGATGGCTATCAGTAAATAAGCACAAACAAAAATTTACAGGAAGATGAAATTAAATAAGTATAAAAATTATAATAATGATAAAGTAATAAAAAGAGGTAAATGTAATAGAATAAAAGTTAAATGCACAGTGAAAAACTAGAACAGGGTTAAAAATTTGGGTGTACTAAAGACTGGCTAAGTACCGTGCAGCTAAGTTCAAATTGTAAACAAAAGCACGTGCAAGACTTATAGCAACTGCACTCTACTATGCGCTAGAAAAGCTTGACAAGGAGTTGTCCGACAAGTTCAAAAGGCGACCTGTCCTGCTGGACCGACCCTCCGCCGCTGTGTCGTAAAAATGAGCCGGGTGAGGATACCGGGGAAAGAACAAGGTCACACAGGAAAATTGCAATTAAATCTTACGGCACTCAGTCACTAATTAAGCTAGCAGGACGAATGATACACTAAAAGAAAGGTAATCTAAAAGCCTACCTTATCGTCTAGGAATGGTGTCGATATTCCCAATTAGACCGGAGATAAGGGCAGATTAATCCAGAAGTATGGCACTTTTATGTCGCACAATAAAAACACTGTAATAAATCGCACAAACACTTCACAATCACAGCACTGGTATCAATGAAGAGATCATATCTTCCACTTTCCAAAGGTACTAGGATTGAAATTGGATGCCTGTAGGTGCCAGAGAAATCTTAATAGATGTAAACACCACAAAACATATAATACAGGCAAGTAAAGAAAAATATATCTCCACGGTGAAGTGGCCCGACGGGAGCTGGCCCAATACAGAATGGCATGACAACGAAGCGGCGATGGCGAAACAGCGAAGGTGAAATGGCGGCGGTGAATAATCCCAATTCCTCTACCTATCTGTAGGGTATTATTTAAAAAGCTAATTTCAATTTAAAAATTATATTGATCATATGCTTTTCGACTTACCTTTAATAATAGCCCTTTCATCCAAAACTTTTAAATGTTGCTTGGCGATATCCGTCTCTTTAGAAAGAGCGGTAGCATAAGCAAATAGAGCTAATGAATAATTGCTGGGATTTGCATCCGCTTCTAAGCATTTTAGAGCGTTTCTTGCGGCTGCAAACTGGCTCGGGCTCTCTGCTGAAGATTCTAACAGACTTATCAGGACGTACGCTGTCAGAGGAGCGAATGACTGTTCTCCTCCACTGAGGCCACCCTAAAAAATTAAACGTATTTAAGTAAAACGTCTTTGGCAACAAAAACAAAATATGGAAGTAAATTAAATGCAGAATATGAAATGAGACATCAGATAAACTAAATAGAGCCAGATTTCGACATTTTATATAAACAAATGCACGCACACCCCAGTCACTAAGCACAATGTACGGGTAGGTGACACCTGGAACACTAGTTAATGCTATTAATGAGTAAATTACATTAATTTTACATTAAAGTTTTTATAAAAAATACGATACTTTTCTTTAATTGTCATTAAACGAAGTACCTGAAGGTGACAATTGAATAGATTATTGTCGAAAGGGCAATGTTCATTTTTGTAAATTTTACACCAGGCAATAAAAAACTTTCTAACATTTTTCATAACAAAGTTACCACGCATTTCGATCCTAGAAATACAAAGAGGTAGTCAAAACAACATTTTAGGCCTATTTTTACAATGTTAACTCCTATTTTAAAATTTCTAGGCAATTTTTAATCTTGTGGACATGTGCTCTTTCAACAATAAAAATGCAAAAAGGGAAAATATATATGGATATTTCTTTGAACAACTTACTTTATTTCAACAAGCTATCGAAATGTGAAACCTGCCACAAAATAAAGCAAAACGGCTTACATATTTTTCATCCCATTAAACATGACATTCACTCACCCAGAAATGGAATATTTTTGTCAAAAATCTTTAATGCTGAACATAATATGGAAACAATATTTAAAATTCAAATATAGTCAAACAATTTAACCTACCCCATTATACTTAAGCGTTGACTTCTCTCTCGGAAGCTGCAGTTGTTGTAGATATTAGCTATAACGTAATGGTGCTGTAAAAATCCTTATATTCTTCTGGTATGTAGTGAATAACTCTTTTGATATCGTCAACTTCCTTTACGTTAATGGCATTCATCCCAGTATATGCTAGTGCAGAAAAACTATTTCTAACTCCGGTCTTTTTTTTTTTGGAGTTTTTTTTTTTTTTTTTTTTTTTTTTTTTTTTTTTTTTTTTTTTTTTTTTTTAATCCAACCATTTAACAAGTTACAGGAAAAAAAACCGAAAGGCCTCAGATTTTTAATTACGTCCAAAGGAGCGTTTTTTAATGACTTGTGTGTTACCTTTATTTATTAAATATCACGTTCTTTGCACTTAAATCAAAAAATTCATAAATAATTAAAATAAAATTGCAGTTCAACAGCAATGTCGCAGAATAATTTTAAAATGAGCTTAACTTTAGAATTTCCGATACACACTTCCGCGCGCTAGAGATAAAAATGCCATTGCTCACTTTTAAATCATTGAGTTTGTTAATGAAAAATTCGTTAAAGTTTTACAAAATATGAAATCGATAATAAAACAAATTCCAAATTTCAAATTTGGGCTTTCAGATGCAGATATTCTCAGTAGGATTACGTCATTCAAAATTGGATGGCTCTAGGTGCCGTTGTTTTATCACAATGCGAGGAATATTCATCAGGGACTAAAACAACTTTCTTCATCTCGAAATAGTAAAAATCGGATAATTTAAAAGATGCTTTGCTCCTCTACAAAGTACTACTATATCCTCCAAAGGCACAACTTGTTTTTTGAAGTATCTTGGACACCAGCTGTTGAAGTCTAGGGGACGATATTGTTGTTTTCCAGCAATATAGCTGAAAGTTTGTCATCAGAACTGCTTTTAGAGATGAGCTTCTTATACTGAGCTGGTGTGTATACTCGATCCATTTTTCCAATATAACGTTTAATAACACCGAAAGTCCTACCACAGGGCAGGGAGCTATGTCCCCTTACAGTAACGTATTGCTTGGCAATCAAATTTTTTCTGGTCACAGAAAGAGCTAAAGAGGAACCTTAAAACAGTATGATTTCGGTTTTGATCCATGCAACCATCCGAAAAAAATATGAATTTCTTTTGCTGACCCCGGAATCTGTTTTATTTAGTCATATAAAAATGAAGAAAACTAAGCAAAAGGAGGATGCAATGTTTACCAAGAGAACAATAGGTTTCGACAATAACGACAGGTTTCAGCTGCGACGCTCGCACTACGTCCCGCGCTGTGTTAAGCGGAGAAAGGGCTCATAGGCACGACGCGTTCCCTTTCAACAATAAACACCATCTTCGACCACTTGCCAGTACACATTGTTGTACTAGAGATGTGCCGCTTCAACTCTAAGTGTGTCTATGTTTGTAGAATGAGAAAACGTTAAAACCTGAAAATCGACAAAATATGGACATGTGTCCTTTCAACAATAATCAATTCAATTATTGAGCTATACGAAATAAAAAATCAAATTTTTAAAAGATCAAAAATTTTATTCAAATTTTTCAAAAAACTATAGATATTCGAATTAAATTTATTACATGTTCAATATGCTTGCACTCAATAGCTATGAAGTAGCGCAGGCGAAAAGGAAAATTCTGCAAAACTCGCTGAAGCATCGAGACGTCGATGTTTTCGATGACCTTCCGAATGGCTGTTATTAGCTCAGCGATGGTTTTGGGGTTATTTGGGTAACGTTTGTCGTTAATATCCCCACAAAAAGGCGTTATAAGGGTTGAGATCAGGAGAATATAGAAGCTAAGCGATTCCCATCCCAGTGGCCTCTGAGTATCGTAAAGCCATAAAATGCGCACTCCAAAGCGGTCTTCCAGGACTTCAAACACTCTATAAGTCCAATGGAGCCGTGCTTCGTCCTGCATGAACCACATGTTTTCGAAATCTGTAGCATCAGTTGGCACCTAATCAAAACACAACGCAATAAATGTATTAACCGCTTAACGCCTTGTCTTGAGGTTTGAGGTGAATTTCTCAGTCTTTGTCATTCTTGTTTCTCTTAGTTTTAAAGTAGGATAGTAAGGTTTTAATCCTTCGACCCAAAAAGGCAATACCACTACTTAACAATAGCTTAACAGGAAGTAAACAATTAATGACAAAATTCCACTCACAGTGAAACACTATAAGTGAACTAAATAAAAGGTGACAGAAACAGGGAATTATTACCTTAATTTCTTTATTGATGATTCTTCCGGAAGGTTCAAAACATCCATTTCTAAGCTGCCGGTTTAGTATCCACTGCGAACTTATTAGCAGATCATTTTCATCTATGTCCATAAATCTTCTTGCCTGACCAAATGATTTAAGAACGAAAGCGGTTAACCAGAGGCTTCCTTCTCTATCTGATTTCCCAAATGCACTGTAAGAACCATCGTTACGTCGGTACTGTAGTTCTCTTTGATAACCTAATGGGAAAGAATGTTAAACAAATAATCATAAAATATTAGTAAATTTTCTTCCAAAACATCACCTGTTCCATAACAGCCTTTTAGTCATATAATCTGCTGTTTGCAAAATACATTTTTCCAGTTTTGCGAAAATATAGCGTTCTTGAGTCGAAATATTGTACAGGCAATGAAATAAAAGGGCTGATTTTTTACGGTCTTTACTTGTTAAAATATCCTGTTATATCCCCTTAAATTCCATAGAAGTTAATTGCCCAAATGTGTGTTTTACCGGTGGTGGTAAAATTAATAATCTAGCTGGACTAGCTTATGTCGTTAATACATCATTGATCTGTACTGGGAAAAAAACTCTTTAGGATTCCAAAAAACTCTTTAGGATTCCAAGTGAATGCAGTGTTTTCCAAGCTGAATTATTTTTCATTAATGAATTAATTAAGTGGACATCTAATCATTGTTCGTTAAATTGTAATTTCCTTATTTGCCCTAATTGTCTTTTATTCTCACATTCTTTTATAAATATTTTTACTGCAATAAATTAATTGTCACTTTTCATGCGATTCTTAAATATCTTAATAATTAAGGTGTTGATGTAATGTTCTGTGATGTACACTGCGCAGAAAAAAAAAGGGACAGTTCTATATCTTCCGTTCCACTGGGCCGATTGACGAAATTCATCTTGCATTTTTCATGTCTCGAAAGCGCGATCTAGGATATGTATTAGATTTATATATAGCGTTATTTTAATAAAGGTATTTTGATAAAAAATCCGACTTTTTCTGAAATGACATGACAAGCGCTTTATAATTCTAAATCACGCTTTCGAGACATGAAAAATGCAATTTGAATTTCGTCAATCGGCCGAGTAGAACGGGATAGAACTGGCCCATTGTTTTCGCAGTTTACATTGCCGTACTGGCAATCTAAGAAAAGAAGAAAGAGCTGGTTAGTAGGCAGAGCAAGCTACAAACTTTTAGGGGTTGATACCACCAGGACATTGCCTAAGTCATCCTTCAAGTAACAAAGTTGGAGTAAAAAAAGAAAACAGAATTCTCAAATGGAATGAATTGTATAGAAATTATTCTAACACCTCTCTGACCAAATTATTTTCTCTTCTATTCTTCGGAGACTTAATATTAAACATTTGTTCTGAAATTTTGAAATTACAAAATTTCTAAATGGACACGGTATCATTTCAATTCATATCTGCAGAGATTTGGACTATATCATTCGAATTTGTGCTTCTGCAGTTTCGGGTGTGCAAAATGTCAAAGCTTATGCAGGGAAGAAAGCTCATTTCCCAGTTAAATTCTCTATACATTAAGTTTCCCTTTTCTCTGTGTATGTTTGTTTAAGATAAAATGGCATTCCTTTGTTTCAGTATATTTGTTTCTTACATTTCAACAGTGAATTTTGTCGATTTTATTTCATTTCGTGTTGTATTGTTTGTTTTTTTTATTTAGCTGTGTAAGTCTTGCGTTACACAATGGGGTGCACAAGGATTTTAAATATTCAAAAAATAAAATAAACTTCTTAAGCAATTCATAAAATCTAAATATATAAATATATATGCATTATACTTTCGTCTTCGAGAACAGAAGAGACAGAAAACACACTTAAACGCTCAGAAATGGTAAAAATAAAATTATTCTTTTTACAGAAAGCTGGGGATTTTACAGAGGAGATGCAGCGCTGCGGTTTAAGAGAGAGAGAGCAGAGATTACCTGTTATTATCTCATTGTTACTTTTACTATCAGGTCATTGAAATACAGCTTTCATGCCTATGTGCTCCGTTGCCAACAACTAAAGTTAACCGTAGACTTAGCTGATGTATAATACTTGAAGTGTAAGCCAAGATATTTCACCGGTAAGATAATTTATTTCAGCTATACAAATTCTCACAGGTAGTCCGAGGATGTTGTAAGATTGCCCGAGATCCTATCGTAATTAAAGTCATATTTTCAGCAATTATTATGTAGGATTTTATACTAAATAACTATGTATTACGGTTTAAACCCTTACTGTAACTTCTGCTTTTCGTAGTCCTCAACAGAATGAAAATTAGTTGAGTATTTAAGATGAGGGTTTCAATGTTTTAGAATTACAGTTATTGGAAGCCTCACATCGCAGTTACACCAAAACGTTGTAGCATTGCAGTACTGCCAGTTCTGCCGAAGTTTATTAAGGCTTCAACTATTTTGCTGGCCGACTTTTAAAAGCGCGTCGTTAATTACTTGAACCAGCGTAAGATACTATTTTGTGTGTAGTCCCAGACTACGTGACTTGAATTTAAACTTTCATAAATTTCTAGACATAATAGTTTCCTACAGTTTCTTCGAGGGGGGGAGAAAGAAGAGGTTTAACAATATTTATACTTTACATCGGTTTTCTCAGAAGGAAAATTCTCTTCGGATACTTTTCATTAACCGAAAATGATAACAATTTAGCTGTTTTTTAACCTAACAAAATGACAGTGAGCATTTTTCAGGCTGCGGACACCTGTATTTGAAAAGGAAATTATAAAGTTTTAAGATATGTATCTCGCAGAATATTAATACAGTAAATAAAATGGCAGAAGAAATTCATTTTCAAGGATAATAATGAACTAAATTACGTACCTTTTATCATGTTATTCATACATTCTTCTTTTAAGTCCTTTGTGATTTTATCTGTAGCTGTCAAATAATCCAAAACAAAGATATTTGGTACAAAAAGAATCATATTTTGCTCTCCACAGCCAACAGGTAATTTAACCAAATTCTTCAATCCATTCAAAGCTTGAGCCATCAGATCACCTAAAAGTAATTATTTGTTATTATACGATTTTGAATGCATAAACTAAAATTTTGACTGCTTATTTAACATACTGAGCACATTACATTAATACGTGTTAGTACATTTCAAACTGTTATGAAGTTGTGAAAGGTAAAGTTAGGTTAATGACAACTGCTTTTCTCAAATTGTTTCAAATGTTTTGCAGAAATATTGAAGTTTCTGAATTCGATTAAGAAATATCTGCTTTGGAGGAAATAAACTGTAATAGCATTATGTTGAATAAAGTAATTCTTTCTAAATTATTCACTTTATTTATGAGATAAACCATGCATAATAAGATACCATATACAAGAAAGCTGGCTTTACTGAAAAAATAACATTTAAGCAGAATAAGACGTTAATTCTCTAATTCATTTATTTGTTTCAATTTTCAGTAGAAAATATGTATTTCGTATTTCATAATACAAATATATGATTTGAGCGCATAACATTCGAAAATAATGAACTATAAATTCTCTTATGAAAACAACTTTGGAAAATTACATTTTGCTTTCGAGTCTGCTACTATTCGAAAAAATAAGATATTATTCCTTCATATTTAATCTGTTTGTTATGATTTAATGCAAAATCCTATTTAAAAGTAATCAATACATACCTTAAAAATATTATTTGTTTACTTTTGAATCTGATTGATTAAATAAAAATGCATTTAATTCATGATATATCTAATGAAAAACATAAAATATTTTTATGGAATTATATCACATATTTTTTTAATTTACAGAAAATATACATATAATATATTGCCATGCTAGTCTGCATATTCATCTAATATCCTATAAATTGTTTCCTAATCCCTCCTGGCAGATTTCTATCGATAATCCTTGCTGATAAACCACACTAAACTTCAAAAGAGCCGTTTTGGTTGATCGTTAAAATAATTTCAAATACGTTTCGAGTTTTTTTTTTTTTTTTCTTTTTTTTTACGACTACGACGAAAAGAAAAGACTTTCTTAAGACAAACATTTCAGAAATCGGTATCGCTTGCTCTGTCAAATCCTTCCACTAGACTCTTTAATGTAAAGATCTATTAGACTCATCCTCACCCAGTCCATACATGCGTCATCAGTGACGTAGCTACAACTTTGTCGCCGAGGCGGTCTTTGAATTTGCCTCCCCTTTTGGTATACATATGAGGGAAAGTGACAATTAGGGTTGTAACAGATTTAAATAATATTAAAATCTTATAGTTTAAATAATTTAAATAGATGAATATTAAGGTATTTGTGAATGGCAATATTTGAAACCAGACTCGAGTGCCTCGCACGAAGAATGTAATTTATTTTTAAATGTTAGATAATGTTTTCTTCTTGTTGTATGTCGCCATTTTGAGTGCTAAATAAAGTTTTTTCTGTGTTCCATCATTGGAGTTGCTTTCATATTGCCAAGAAGTATCACAGTCATAATTATTTCGGAGCAGCCGACCAGATCGAATAATCGTGCGTATTTTTATTTTATTAGTTCATCACTGAACATAATATTAGTGATACCAGATTATTACTTTCCTGTTATAAGAATTGCTTTATTTTATTAGTTCATCACTGACGCAATATTAGCGATACCAGATTATTTTCCGTTAATATTAAATTGTCTTATTTTATTACCGTATTGGATATTATATTTAATATTCATTTAGTTGTTGCAGACGGTAGATATTTATATTGCTCTATGGTTATTATTCTTTTTTAATCACAATTAATGTGGTAGAGAGAATGAATTCATATAATTTAAATATTTCATTTTTGAGCTATTTTGAGGAAATATAAGGAACACAGTGTTCGTAAATTTTAAACATAGAAACATGTCTTACTTAGGAAGAGCTCGTAAGGAAGATTTGCAAAATCTCGCACTGAACTGGAGTTCATGTGACTGCATTTGAAAATCGTGATTTGAAACAGAAAATTGTTGAAAGTAGAGATTATGATGAAGTCTTCGTCAAAGGGTTTTAGACACAAAAGAGAAGAACAGAAAGAGAGGGAGGAGAGAAGAACGTAGGAGACAGGAAGAAGCAGAGAGCGGAGAAGAAACGAAACAGTATGAATTAGAAGATAAGACTTGAATCAGAGACAAAGTCTCAAAATACCGGACAGATCCGGCCGAAAACGAGCTGCGTCACTTGCAGAAATTCGATGACAAGAAAGGAGATATCAGTTATATTTGCTATTGTTTGAAGGCAACAGAATGGGCTAAAATTGATAAAGAAGAATTTGTATCTCATTTTACTAGGACTACTTCCTTACGAAGTAACCCAGTTAATAGCTAGAGAACCCTCGATAAAGCTAAAGACTAGAACACGTGAAAAATTTATTGTTAAGACGGTTAAATTAAGCCCGGAAATTTAGGCGAAATTTTGCACATCAACAACTGTACCGATCCAGGGTGGATTTCATATACATAGAAATTATTGACGAATGGTGATGGTAAGAGTTAAGATTTTGATCAGTTGCTAAATTGATGGTGCTTGACCAATTAAACGCGAGTTCCTCCTGAATTCGAGATCATTCTTGATGAATGGGTAGAAATAATTCATCTAAAAAATAGCGAAAACTTGATGCATGAAAAGTTTGCGGAACTTTCAAAAAGGCTTAGTGGATCGAAGAAAGAAAAATACTATGCACTAACTCAAGGTAAATTGAGTCAGATAAAAAAATAAAACTGAAAAAAAATTTCATCAGGATTAATTCGCACGCTGGTTTCATAGACCTAGAAGTCCCGTCAGTGATAAATATAAACGAACGCCAAGGCCTTGTGTAGGTCTATCACATTAAGACCCATGTCAAACTTAGATGTACTGATCTCTGTATTACAGAATAGTAATTAATTCAAAACCAGAAGATAATTCTCTACCTTACTAGTATGGGTTACGTAAATGGTCATAAATCCTATATACGGATTCAGGTGCTAGCTTGTTATTGTCGCAAATCTCACGCCGGAAATGCTGAAGGGAAAATGTTTGAATCAACACCTTTGGCTAGAACTAAATTGGATCTGGGCGAGGAATAACTAAGCTGCCATATTAGAAAGACCGAAAGGAAGGTATTATAGGCAATCGAAGTTTGCACTGTTGAATAACAGGAAAGGAATGATAGTCATCTCCCAGGTTAATGCCGTCTATATAGTTCAAAGGAAGAAAATAGGAAAGAAGATCTGGAACCGATGAAAGAAGAAAATAACATCAGAATATCTTTGAAAGTAAATCACCGGAATTAAACGTGGAGATTTTCATGAAAATTGAAAACGATAAAAAAATTAATATTGGAATCATTTTACATTGCAGCTTATCATCTTCGGGCTTTGATTTAATATCAAAGCGCTACTATAGACGAAGAAAACAATGTCGAAATGAGAATTGATATTATAGGCACAGATGAACTGAGAAAGGCTTTGCGTGAATATAGCGAGAAACGGTCCACCATGAAGGATATAGGCGCGTCAAGAAACAAAAGGAAGACTAGATCAGTCTCCATTTTTTTTCTATTTAAATGTGTTGCAAGTTTGTTGAAAACTAAATTTTGGTCTAAGTTGGACTTATGGGAGAAATTACCTCTCTTAAATAATCAGAATCGAGCTAAACTTTCGAATTTGTAACTTTCCCTTCGGTAAAAGTCTCGTGGGAAAAGGTTTAACAGATTAAATATATTAAAACTTATAGTTTAAATAATTTAAATAGATGAATTATGTGAATGGCAATATTTGAAACCAGACTCGAGGCCTCGCACGAAATGTATTTATTTTAATGTAGAATGTTTTCTCTTCTTGTTTGTATGTCCCATTTGAGTGCTAAATAAGTTTTTTCTGTGTTCCATCATTGAGTGCTCATTGCCAAGGAAGGGGTGGAGAAACCACTCCTTATTTTAAGTGACAATTGTACTTGTGTAAGTTCTTGTAGGAACTAGGAAAGGGTAAAAGTAATCTTATTAAACTCTTTAAAATTCACACTTGACGCTGATACACTACGCCTCACTTGGGCGGTAACTCAAATCGCAAGAACTAAAAAAGTCGAAGATATTCACAAATAGTAGAAATTAAGCTACAGGGCTCAGAAAACTTCTGTTACTTAAAACCGCGCGGAAACTAATGGCAGCAATGTAACAGCTAAATATGTCACGTAAACCAGCAATAACTGCGAAACATGAAGCTCACACAACAGAGGTGGCAGCAATAGCCTAAATCTCTAACTTTACTATTAAAACTCAGTATTTTTATAAATAATTTATAGTATAAACTTTTTTTTCTCAAGGTAGAATTTGCATTTCGTCACACGCGTTACCAAATTTAAATATTCTGGCATTGGTAATTAGGGGAATGAAGGTTTAAAAGAAAACTTAAAATTAAACTTAACTTGTTAGTTAAAAACAAATATAAATCCCTACAAGGGAAATAAATTAATGTAATATTGAGGAGAAACTTCTGTTCCAAAATTTCAGAATTATATTATTATTTTTTTTGGCTCTTTGTCTGCAAAAACATCCATGCCATTTGATTGCTTCAACTGATATTACGTAAACAGAAAGATTCCTTAAATGCAAAATAAACATTTGCAGTTCTTAAGATCTTCTTTAGTAATTTTTACTTAGAAAATTTTTCTGATAACATAAACAGTTGCAACACTAGTGACGAAAGTTCGCAATGGTATTACAATACTTGTAACTTTATTACCAAGATCACATTTACTTTGTTCTCTTTTTCTTTGTTTGCATTAACATTGTTTTGGAGACTGTGTCACTGATAAACTGCAGTAATTTAAATGGATCGCTCTTCTATATCCCTGTTTCATTTTAAAAATAATGGAAGAAACTTCCGAAATATTTCTCTCTTAAGGACAAATCCTTCTTTATTAATGTCACTGTAGTCATAATGTAATTTATATTCGTAAATTTTTTTCAGAAGTTTCATCGGAATAAAAAGGCATAACAAGAGTATGTAGCTTAACGTGACTTCTATGAATTTTTTTATCTAGAGTAAGGGCTCACCAGCGGCCGAGCGGTAAAGACGCTGAACTGGTAGTTCGGTCCGAGTTTCGAATCCCGCAAACAGGCTGGCTGCATGGGGGTTTTCGTGGCTTTCCTCATGTGTAACGTGTACACGGTCCTGTTTCCCTTAGAAAGTCCTCCACGAAGGCATCCCTCCCTTTAGGCAGATAGCCCTCGTGTGCTTTTCCATAATTGAATAGTCCAATCATCTAGAGTAAAATCTAATTTTCTTCTCAATTTAATTCCGTGTGATAATTAAGTTTCCTTATTCTTTACCTGTCTTGATGACCCTCATGATTAGCTGCTATAAAATGATGTTTCAGGCAAAAAATGCTGCTCTAAAAATTCTGCCTAAAAGGTTTACTCACAAGACATTTACGTAGTAACAATGCAAAAGCGAATTTTTTCTCTTAATTTACACATTAGAAACTTTCAGAATAAAATTTGAATAGTGTTCGTTTCAATCTAGAAATGAATTTTTTATAATAGCGTAATTGCAACAACAAGAGAAGAAATTACTTAATTTTGTTAAGTTACTTCACTGCGTAATGTAATATGAGCCATTTTTCATTGCGAAGGCGTACCTTCTTTCAGATACATAGCAATGATATGCTTCATCCTAATCGATAAACCAAGTTATTTCCTCAGATTTCTTTGAACAATCATAAAGAGTTTATAAAACTTTTGGTGTAAAACAGCTGCTCATGAGAGTTGGAAAACAAATTCAGTTCAATTATTATTTTAAATACATAATATAGACTGAGGCTAGTATTATAGTGTCATTAGGAATTTTGATGCTGGAGAAGTGAAAAATGTGCACTGCCCTCATCGGGACACGAAACTGGACCTCTTGAATACGCGCCGAGTGTGCTACCGTTACACCACGAAAGCATGGAGAAAGGAGAGAGAAAATACCTTATAGTGTTTAAACTCAAGACAGTAATCTTTGTTTGAAATTGTGGAGAGGTGGGGGATGCTCAGCACTTCTCGAGAGATGCCTATTATTTCAGAATTTGAGAAATGAGTTTAAAACTAATTTTAACGACCGTTTTTCAACATTTATGGAACTTAAAAATCTTTGTCAATTAATTATGAAATCGATTAACAGTGATCGCCGGCAGTTGGCATTCTTGTTTACAGTTGGTTATGTTGTGTGTTTATGTTTCATAATTATATGTTTGTGCCTTTCGTGTTTGTTCTTACATGTGTTTTGTGTTGTATTGTCTTCTTTCTTATATTTTAGTTTTTTTATTAATACTCAATTGTATTTAGTTTCCTTTGTTTGCGATTGGACCGGCTGGCGTCCGTTACAGTCATAAGACTGTCCATGAGACGGTTAGGTGGACTGGGCTTAGCCTGATACTAAAAACCTTATAGTATGTAATATATATATTTGTCGTATATATGTAATATATATATTATAGTATGTAATATATGTATTTGTCTGTCGATAACAAAACTTTGAAATTCCCATGATTTTTGCACATTTCATTTTTTAATTTATAAGACGTTAAATTATAATATTGTATTTCTCAATACAATGGCATAAGTTTTTTAAGACTCACGGTTTAATTACTTTATAATAATTGTTCCTATTTGCAACTATCATACATAGATATTACAGCTCCGAAAAGCCATTTTTATGACGTCTCATAATCGAAATATTTCTCTTATTTTTCCAGTAATTTGGATAAGCAGAGTCCTTGCGTACCTATAAATGTATATTAATGTACAGCTCGTAATTAAATTTGTTAATTTAATGCAGTGAGCAGTTTTTTAAAAGAATTGTATTTCATTAGTTTTAAGCTTTTTATTCTAGTAATTTTTATTTTAAAAAATTTTTTTTTATTTTATTAATATTATATTTTATTTTATTATAATTTAGCAAAATTTAAGATTTTATTTTATTATATTAAACATTTTTTATTTTTTATTTCGCTCTCTACTATTTCAATACCACTCAATCTTAATATGTAGTTCAGTTTTCATCATCTACTGCTCTGCATATGCTTCTGGAAATTTTCGAGATTGTTAGTTGTAAATAGAGACACGAATTTCAAATTTCATTTTAAATAAGACACGCCTTTAAATTTGGATTGGTCAGAACACGTTTAGATAGAAATAGAAGATAGATCACCAAGTAGGAAGGCTTCATTTCCAAGGGGGCCCACCAGCGGCCGAGCGGTAAAGACGCTGAACACTGGTAAGTTCGGTCCGAGGTTCGAATCCCGCGAACGGGCTGGCTACATGGGCGTTTTCGTGGTTTTCGCCATATGTAACGTGTATACGAGCCAGTTTTCCTTAGAAAGTCCTCCACGAACGCATCCCTCCCTTTAAACAGATAGCCCTCGTGTGCTTTGCCATAATTAAATAATCCAATCCAATCCATTTCCAAGACGCAAAGGGATCATTTAATGTATAACGCTCATCCCCTAGGGAGCAGTTCACGCGGATGCAACCCTAGCGATTGACCCTGGGCTTTAAACAACGTCTAGTCAGTTTTGTTCGTTGAGACTCCTTTGCAACCGGACACCACTCCTGTCGCTTCGAAAGACAAATAGGTCATCATTAACCACGATGATCATTAACTTCGACAAGACCGAAATGGACCAAGCCCCAAAGATCACTACTTAATATCAACTATGTAACGATCATACAGATACGAGACAGACGAAACAGGACCAACACGGCCCTACCGAACCAGAACGGACCACCACATAGTCGATGATTCTAGTCACTAGAAGACAATCTATTTACTTCAGGAGCCGAATCTATGTTCAGATTTTAGGCAGTACGTCGAGGGTTGCCCCAATAGACCCCCAGAGGGACGAATTGGAAGATAATTCAGATAAGTTCAAATTATTCTGCATTTATCAATAATAATAATAACAATTCTTCATTCCTATGTTTTTGGCCCACCAGTTTGCCGCGTGGATAAACACTGGCATTTTGGCCTAGTGTTCGAAAGCTGCATAGGAAATACTTTTCTTTCCTCCTGGGCTCTCTGGGGTCATTTATTGTACTGGCTGAGATCTGCACTCTGACATTCTCGGCACCCTAGGGATATAAAATATACGAGCTCGGTTCTTACTATCCAAAACGGCAGCCTGTTTTCTCGGCGGTTAGTGGTGGCAGTCATCCAAATGGGTAGCGTGACGACCAGTTTTTTTAATCACGGGTTTCACAGGATTCGCACCCTACGTTGAGATAAATCCTGGAGCCCAGGAAGTCAGTCTGGCTCTAAAGAAGTTACAAATTTTAATCCGCCCTCCTGAGAACGGGTGTTCGTTTAGGCAGTGAGCTACGTTTGTCCGATCATCTCTCGATAGGGAGCTTGCAAGCTCCTCTGCCATCAAATACAGAGACTCCACAGTTGACTTTCCGCAGTTATTTATTTGCGAGAGCGGTTTATCAAATTCGATTATTTCCTCATGAGTAGCTTGGCTACCTTAGGAAACTGCCCATCCTTGTATTTGTGATTTGCCACATTCAAAAATTTCTACATTTATTTTTACTTTGTAATATTTAAATAACGTTGCATTAAATAAAAAAGTATTTATATTTTAGATTTAATTAAAAGAATAAGTAACAAAGTGGGTCTTCAAGGATTTTTAATCGTTAGCTTACTTGAGACAGATACATAAGCTCGAGCAGATCCATCAACAGCATTTTCTGGAATAAGATTTACTTCGGAAGAATAGGATCCATTTGTAGCTGAAAATGAAGGTAACATTTTAAGCAGCACTCTGATATCTTTGATGAAATTATAAAATTGTACTCATATTTACTCTAAGCAACAAGAAAACATATTGTTACGAATTTGGTATTTAAAAAGCAAATGTTAGTTCAATTATAAATTAAATGGTTTTATTTCTCGCGCAGTGCAGCGCGTGACGAATATTAAAAGAAAGCTAAGCCGGAAAATTGAAAATACAAGAGCGCGTGCATTAAATAAATAAATATCTCTTTTTGATTTCGAGAAAAGTACTGGAAAAATTCTAGCGCGTGATTTTAAAATCTTATAAAAGGAGGAAAACCTCTCAGTTCGTAGTAGTTTGCTTAGTTTGTTGTTGTTTAGAAAACTACTGTTGTTGATTGTAGCGAATTCGCGGATTAGCGTTCTTTAGCTGTTTTGAATTACGTTCTATTGGACATTTGAGTAGTTAAAAGATAAACTACTGTGAGATATTGTAATACTGCATGATAATTTGAGAAAATTTAAGCATTTTGTTGTGATAATAATAAATTTTTGTTCATTTTTCATCGGACTTGTGCATTCATTTCGTAACGAACCCGTACGCACGCAACAATTTTTGGTGTCAGAAGTGGGATTTGAATGCCAATAACAAGAGCGATGGAAGAGCAATTAAGGCATTGACGCTTTGCCTTTAAAAAGGAAAAAGAAGAGATGAAATCTAGCAAGGAAAGATGGAAGGGGCCGTCAACTCCGTTAAGGAAAATGAAAGCCTTCAAGCTGGTCAAGAAAAGATTGAAGCAGAAGAAATGAAAAGAAATTACCTGCATAATAGAAAATAAATTTGAAGCTATGGAAGGCAGAATGACACAGTGAAAATAAAGT